GATAGGCCCTGCCAGTGTTTAGGGGTTTTCTGGCTCATTGCTTATAGGCTGCTCCTCACTGCTCAGGACCGTGAGGGGCCAGGCATTTAACTTAGGGCTGCCACATGCAGAGCATGAAGGGCTGGGGAGATAGTTCAGAGGGTTATGCTGCCTGTTCTGGGGGATGAGGAAACAGTAGAGTGGGCAAGACACTTGCCTTGCATGCAGCTGACCCAGGGTTAATCTTCGCCACCCCATGAGATCCCCTGATCACCACCAGGAGTGATTGCCTAGTGCAGAGCCATGGGTAAACCCTGAGCACTGCTATTTATTTATGGGGTTTTTTTTTTTTTTTGGTGGGTGGGGGCACACCCTCCGGGATTTAGGGCCTACTCGTAGCTGAGTGCTTAAGGGGTCACTCGTGGCAGTGATAGGTGTTACTTGGGATCTAACCCCAGAGCTCCTGGACACTGAGCATGCAATCAGCCCTCTGAGCTATCACTTAAAAAAATTTTCTGTGCTTGTATTTTTCTCTCTCCCCTGTCCCTTCACTGTTGTTATTACTGTTGATGCAGTGGGGTTGCATACTCCTGGCTGTGGCTCTCCCAAGTTTTCCACTCCTTTAGTCGTGCTTGCCAAGGCAAGAGCACTCTTTGTTGAGACGTACGTTACTGTTGTGCTCACCCTGTTTTGTGGTGTTCACACACATTTGACTCTAGTGCATCTGGAAATTACTTGCAGCACTAGTGTCCACAGATGGCAGAGCTGCCTGGATTGTGTTCAGCACATTTGGGGAACCAGGGATCTAAACTCATGACCATATGCTTGCAAGGTAGATGCACCAAACCCCTGCACTATTCCTCCGGGCCCAAAACAGCTTCCAAAATAGAAATTGTTTTCAGAAGCTAGAGAGGTCGTATAGTGGGTGAGATGCTTGCTTTGTACCTGATTGACCCAGGTTCTATTCCCAGCACTACCTGCGGTCTCCGTGGTGCTGCCAGTACAGAATCAGGGGTGAGCCCCGAGCACAGCCACATGTGATCCAAAGAAGAAAAATGTTTTTTTTTTTTCATAAAATAAGATCTACTTTTAGTTAAATTTAGTTAAATACATAGTGTGTCTATGTACACACACACACACACACACACACACACACACACCATTTTTATAGCTCCTGGGTTAAGCAAACAGCTCAGGGCTGCATTTTGGCAGAAGGTTTCCTACTTGAATGATCCACTGGAAAACATTGTTTAAACTTATTTACTTATCTGTACATAGAAACTAAAGAAGATTCAAGCAGAAAGCTTTATTTATTTATTTTTATTTATTTTAGGGCTGGAGCAATAGCACAGCGGTAGGGCGTTTGCCTTGCACGCAGCCAACATGGCCGACCCGAGTTCGATTCCTCTCGGAGAGCCCGGCAAGCTACCGAGAGTATCTCACCCGCACGGCAGAGCCTGGCAAGCTCCCCGTGACGTATTCGATATGCCAAACACAGTAACAACAAAGTCTCCAATGGAGACGTTACTGGGCCCGCTCGAGCAAATCGAGGAACAACCTTTTACCTTACCTTATTTTAGGAAAATGGGTTTTTGTATTATATCAAGTATTTAAAATAGTACAGTTAAAAATTAAAGCAAGAAAGAAAATGCTGTCTACAAATGTTTACAAATTTAAACCTAATTAAATGACAATTTTTCATTCAGCATCAATACTTAAGTTGGGGAACATTTAAGTGGAAACATTTTTTTTAAAATCTTACTATCTTTTGGTTTGGGGGCTACACCCAGCGGTGCTCAGTGTCTTTCACTCTTGGCAGTCTTGGAAGACCATCTGGCATCGAAACCAGGTCAGCTGCATACAAGGCAAACGTCTTACTCGTGTACTATTGCTCTGGCCCGAAACCATTAATTTTTAAAAGGGGAATTGACTGTGTTCTCCCTGGAACGCGTATCTTTTCTGTGCTTGTTTGCTCTTTCAAGCTTGTGTTCTCCCTCATTTTTCCTCCCCCCATCTTACATCTTTCTAAGTATGTTTTATTCAGTTAAAAACTACTAACATAGAACCAAAGATTAATAACCCACTTCAACTTTATTTTGGGGAGTGGAAGTTGTGGGCACACCCGACTCTTTAGGTCACATGCAAAGCAAATGCCTTACCTATGGTGCTGTCACTCTACCGCCCCACTCCCCCAACTTTAATCATAAGTCCACCTCCCTTCCTTTGTAGCCTTTCATTTTACTCCTCACAAAATTTATTCTCTTTTGGTTTTATATCCGTTACTGACAAACCAATGTAGTGAGACTTCGTGGGTGGTGGCTGGAGGAGTGGTCTTGGTTGATCCGAACCTTATAAGACAATAGAAGATGATCAGTCTCCGGAGATTGAGAAGCTGTGTTCTTGTAGACAGGAAATTGGCATGGATGAGTTACACACAGGCAGGTGTAGTAACAGATGTCTTGGATTCACGTCCCAAAGCAGAGGAAATAGCAAGGAATCAGGCATAAGGCACACCAGAGGTCCACTTGGATTCTAAAAGACCCATCATATTGTTTTCCATGCTGCTATATACCATTTTAGATTCCCATCAGCAGTGCACAAGTTTGTTCCAGTTGCCAACATTCATTATGTTTTCTTTTATTTTTTGTAGTGGACATTCTAATGTGTATAAGAAGAAGTATCTCCATGTAGTTTTGACTTGTATTTCCTAAAGAATAGTGATATTGAACCCTACTTCAATATGTTTCTTACCCATTTGTGTATTTTGTGAGTTTTTTTGTTTGTTTTTTAGTTTTTAGGCCACAGCCAGCAGTGCTCAGGGCTTACTCCTGAGGGTGCTCAGGGAACCATATGGAGTGCTGGGTCAGCTGCATGCAAGGCAAGATATCTGTCATACTATTGCTCTGGCCAAGCCTGCGTCCCCCTTTTTTTGTTTATGTCTCTCCATATATTTTTCTCAAAAATTTTTCTAAATTTATAAAAATTTAGTGGATGGGCCATACTCCATGGTGCTTGGAACTATATAGATACCTGGTATTCAAACCAGGGTTGGCCACGTGCAAGGCAAGCACCTCAATTCCTATATCTCCGGCCCTAAAATATTTTTTGTAGATAATGTATAACACTTTTTAAAAGTGTATCATTGAGTGGCATTAAGCACATTCATGCAGAACTCTTCTGGCAATTATAGCCATTCAACAACCTATTTCTTATTTCACTCTTCCCTTGCTCCTGGCAACCACCACTCTGCTTTGTTTCTATGCCTGACTACTATAAACACCTCATATTAATGAAATGATATGGTGTCTCTTGTGACTCATGATGAAGGTGAATTTTCCCCACCCCCAACCCCAGCAGGAGTTGGACGGTGAGTTTTGGCCACACCTGGCCATGCTTTAGGTATACCTGTGCTCAGGAGTTACTCCTGCCACTGCTCTCAGGAATTACTCATTGTGGAGTGCCAAGGATCAATCCAGGTCAACAGTATGCGAGGCAAGCACCTACCTACTGTACTTTCTCTCAAGCTCCTGTATTTCATATGTGCATATAGATACTCCACCATCATAGGAAGAGTGGGATTCTTTTTTTTTCCTTAAATTTTTATTAATGAAACACCATGAGGTACAGTTGTAGACTTATAAATTTTTGTGCTTGGGTTTCAGTTATACAATGATCGAATACCCATCCCTCCACCAGTGCCCATTCTCCACCACCACCGGTCCCAGTGTCCCTCCCACCCCCCTTCCCCCATCCCACTCTACCACTGTGGCAGGGCATTCCCTTTTGTTATCTCTCTCCTTTTGAGTGCTGTGGTTTGCAAAAGAGACATTGAGTGGCAATCTTGTTCGGACTATAGTCTACTCTTATCACTCATTTCCCATTCTGAGAGGAACCTCCCAACACCCTTTATTTGGTGCTCCCTTCTCTATCTGAGCTGCCTTTTCCCCTAGTGTGTGCGGCTGTCTTCAAAGCCATGGGGTAATCCTCCTGGTACTTATCTCAGCTATTCTTGGGTGTTAGTCTCCGATTTTGTTACTTTATGTTCCCCGGATGAATGCAATCTTTCTGTGTCTATCAAGAGTGGGATTCTTACTGAGTTCATGAAATGTTAAATATTAACTGTTCAGTAGATCTGTTTAAAGATGTTGGCTTAAGAAATACTATCTGTTAAGGTTGTAGAAAAAATGTTTTACGAGATAATGTGGGCTACAGTCAGATGAATTGGATTGTTTGGTCTATGTTAAGCTGTGTGTTCTTGGGCAATTGCACCAGAATGTGCTTATGTAAAAATTAACAGTAGTTAAGAAGTATCCTTTCAAAATCTTATGATAGGGGCCAGAGCAATAGTACAGGGCATTTGCCTTGTCCCCTAAGCTCTACTGCTAAGTGTGGCACGAAAACAAAACAAATTTTTTTTTCTTTTTGGGTCACACCCGGTGATGCTCAGGGGTTACTCCTGGCTCTGCATTCAGGAATCACTCCTTGGCGGTGCTCAGGGGACCATATGGGACACTGGGAATCAAACCCGGGCTGGCCACATGCAAGGCAAATGCCCTACCTGCTGTGCTATTGCTCCAGCCCCAAAACAAAACAAATCTTATGGTGAGATCTTAAAAGAAATCTAAGAAATGCGGAGATAAGTTTATCCTTAGCACTGTAGCATTGTCCTCCCCTTGTTCATCGATTTGCTCGAGCAAGCACCATTAACGTCTCACAACAAATTTTAAGACTTGTTACTGTGTTTGGCATATTGAATACATCACGGGTAGCTTGCCAGGCTCTTCTGTGTGGGCGAGATACTCTCGGTAGCTTGCCCGGCTCTCCAAGAGGGGCAGAGGAATCAAACCAGTCGGCCATGTGCAAGGCAAACGCCCTACCCATAGTTCTATCACTCCAGCCCAATTTTATCCTTAAAATCTAATATTTAGGTTTTTCTTTTCCTTTAAGCAACTGCATTTATGGAGGTAAAACATTATTTAAAGAATTTTTTTCTGTGAATAACTTCTACATTTTATCAAAAGGCATGGGTTTGGGAAGAAGATAAGAATCTGAGATATGGCGTGAAGAAGTATGGAGAAGGAAATTGGTCTAAAATACTGTCACATTATAAATTCAACAACCGGACAAGTGTCATGTTAAAGGACCGATGGAGAACTATGAAGAAACTAAAACTGGTTTCCGTTGACAATGACTGCTGAAATGTGTTTGCCAACACTTGATAAAGGGACAGTTAAATATTTGTTTACCCTGTTTTGTTTGAGATTTGGTGGTCATTAATGTGTTTCAGAATTTTTGTTAAAAGCATTAATAGTCATTTAATGTGAATTTGTATATGAGTAAGTTTATCTGTCATCATTGTATTTAAGAACATTTTGATAAAATATGAATATGTTGAACCTTGATGTTGCAGTACCCATACCTCCAGTTCCTGTTCCAATTAAAAAAGTTGAAAATCTTGTAAGATTAAAAAAATATATTTTTCACCTGTGTCCAACTTCAACTCAACAGTATATAAAAAAGGAAGTTTCTAAGTCAGTGAATTTAGAATTTGCTCTGCCTTTGACATAGAAAATAGTAACTTATTTTATGAATTTAAGATATTACTAAGTATATTTTACTTGACCTGTGAATTCAACATATTGCTAAGTATATTACTAAGACTTGTTTATAAAATGATAAATGTACAGAATATGTGTTAATGACCTTCAGTGTAATAGAATAGGCTTCATGTAATAGAAAAATAAGTAATCTCCACACACACACACATACACACACACACACACAATAGTTCAAAATTGAATTATGAAGAATAGCATCATGTCTCAGTTCATTAGACTTTTCTTCAGTGTTAAAACTTTGATAGTTAGTTTTTCATAAAGTTTCTTTATAATCTGGGATATCGGGGGTCTTTTTAAAAAATATTTTTATTTTGCATATAAAGATTGGGCTTAAATGTTATTCTTGAAATGCTTGATATTAGCTATGATCATTTTCGTTCAATTTACATATCTATGATAATTAGTAAATAATAAAGGTCACAAATACCCTTCTGGACAGTTTTGTCACTTTTCCTAACATTTTGTTCTTTAGAGGATTTTGTCAAATAGAGGATTTTGCCAGTAGAATTATTTCTCATTTCAAGTTACTTTTGCCTTAAGATTGAAAATTATGAAGTAATGAAGTTTTCGTGTAAGAAGTTAAGCAGCAGTATTTTTTAATATGTATCTAATTTCCATTTAAAGTTTTTTACATTATTTGTTTATGAATTTGTTTCTTGTATTTGTCACGATAAACTGAAACTTGGATATTTACTGCCTTTCCTGGCTCAGACTATTGTTTTGCCACTAGTTACAAAAGTTACAGTAGTTGGGTTATGATGTAGACAAGTGGTAGAAAGGCTTACCAAATGCCTTAAAAGTCTTCTTTGTTCCAAACATATACCATAAATCATTAAATCTGTTGTTAAAAGTAAATACTCAAATGATTTTGTGACTGTAAGATCCCAAAATCAGTATTATGAGCGGGACACTTGCCTTACATGTGGCTGACCTGGTTTTGTTCATCAGTACCCTGTGGGAGCAAGCATCGCCAGGAGTTAACTCTGAGTACCGTAGGGTATGACCCAATCCCCAGTCTATCCCCCAACACACCTCAGCCCCAAAATTCACTATCTCTGGGCCAGGGATATAGCCCAGTAATAAAGCATTTGCCTTGCTTGCATGAAACCCTGGGTTTGCTTCCATAATTCTGCAGAAAAAAAAAAAAATATTCATTCTAGTATAGTTTTCTTAAATGTTCTCATTAAGAGGACTATTTTCAATGTATTTAAACATTTTATCATATGAACAGTAAATATGTAAAAAGCTAAGACAAATTGGGTCAGGCATGAATTAGAGTAGCACAAATGGGTGGAGTACTAGCCTTGAGTGTATTAGGCCTTAAGGTCTATTCCTGTGCCACATAGCCCCAAATACTGCTGAGGAGGCCTCTATAAACAAATTGAATGATCCTTAAAATTACTTCCTCTGAAGTCTGAATCTTCAAATTAGTTTTTAAACTTGAAATTCTTATTTAGATATATAATTTCACATGCAGTTGTAAGAAATGGGAGGGGTCTTGTTTTCTCTCGATCTATGGAAAGGGTATGTGTCTGGAAAGGGTGCTCCTTTGCACCTGGCCAACCAGCTTTGATTGCTGGCAGTGCATATGGTCTAATCATTGTTAGAAAGGATCCCTGAATACAGGCGTAATCCCAGAACACTGCTGGCCATGGCCAGAAAAATATCTATGAAAAGCTATATGTAGCATGTCATTTGAAAATATTGAAATCGATAAAAAGCCACCAATCTTCCTCTAATTTCCCCAGTTTTATAGTGCTTGTGATGCTTATTTTGTTCTAAAACATCACTTCTGTGGTCCTACGTATTCCCAGGCAAGATACCGAATACCTTGCTCCAGATATTTCGTGCTGCCCTTCTATCATTCCTTCATTCCTTGGCCACCACCAATTTAGTATGTAATCATTTGTAAGTATTCTTTTAAAAGCCCCAAAACATTCTTCTACTAATGTAAGCATTAAGCTGGTCAAAACTTAGAATCGACTTTTTGGAATTTTGGAATCTAATTACAAACTTAAAACAGGGCCAGAAGTGATAATAGAGCAGGTCGGGTTTTTGCCTTATATGCTATTGACCTAGGTTCAATTCCCAGCATCCCATATGTTCCCCCGAGCACTCTCAGGAGTAATTCCTGAGTGTAGAGCCTGGAGGAACCCCTAAGCATCTCCAAGTGTGACCCCAAAACAGTGAACAAAACATCAAGCCAGTGGTCAGAGAGAACACAGGGATTAAGGCACTTGTCATGCATGAGACTAACCATCATTTGATACCTGGCACCACCTAGGGTTCCCGAGCACTGCCAGGAGTGATCCCTAGCGCTGTATCTTTTCTTTATTCTTAGAAAACTCCACAAACTGGGCCAGAGAGATAGTACAGGGGTTAAAGCACTTTGTACATACTCACCCTGGTTTAATCCCCACTACCACATATGGTCCCCTGAACTTTGCTAGGAGTGATTCCTGAGCTGATGGCTAGAAGTAAGTCCTGAGCACTGCCTGGTGTGGCCCTAAAACTCAATCCATGCCCCCAAATACACAAATTATTTTTCTAAGGGAGAGATTGGGAAATTTATATTTGATACCCAGTAGGACCTCCTCACCCCAGGAATGATGCCACCTTTCCTTCGTGTTCTGAAGGGTATGGTCTCCAGTCTGGCTTATCCATCAGTAGCAACAACCCCTTTGCTTTTTTCTTCAAAAGCATTATCTTAAATCAGGTTGATTTCTACCTACCTGCTTCACCTTTTCTGTTATGAGCCTGTTCTCTTTCGTAAATGTTGCATCTCCATGGGTTTGGAGAAAGGAGAGAAGATTGGCAAATAAGTGCTTTCATCAAGCATTTGACCTAGAAGTTTCACTTTTCCTTTCAATATGCTCATTACCTGATTGTTTAGACCTCAGAACGTGCAGTTTTTCTTTCTTAGTCAGCTAGCAATCTTGCCTGCGAACCTTTCACAATAATAAAAACTTGGATGGCAGAGCCAGTTTTATTTTGCATCAAAAGCAACTTAAATTTTGCCAGTGCTATTTACACTAAATTACAAAACTTTGAATAAAAAACTCCCAGGAAATACCCAAAAGGGGACTAGGAATATGGGTATCTCCAAAAGGTTGGTGCCAAGGCAGCATGGAAAAACCAGGGACTTCCATCGCCAGCACACCACTGAATGTGTCCCAAACACGAACGAACAAACAAGGCCCTGAAAAGGGAATTCACATGATTATAATTTGGCTGGTTTGTTTTCTACCCATTTTCCCTCTTTTCTTACCACACTCATTTCCCTCCTCTTTTCTGAATGGGAATATTTATTTATTTATTTTGTTCAAATTACTTTCCATATGGACTTTTGAAAGTATGTCAAGTAATTTGGGGATTCGTAAATCATTGTAGACTGCCCAGAGGAAGGCCCGAGCTCTAAGGTACTCATTAAAATAGAATAAAAAAAAGAATACCAAAGCAGTCTTAAATTCTTTGATCTTTAACTTTGAACAGAAAAAAACTTTCAATTTCTTCATTAATCACTTGGACTATGTGTTTCAAGTCTGAACCGTTTCCTCAGGTTTTGCTGGAATTAATAACAAGCTTTCAAAACCATTATTTAGTAGTCAAGACTTTTTAGCCTACAGAATTCTTCTCAGGAACATAAATAAAATATACTTTAACATAAAAGTAATTGATGGCCATTCACTAAAAGCTAAACAAATAGAGTAAAAAATTGGCTTTATACAAGTCAGATATGTTAAATGTGATAACATATATTGGAACCATAAATATTTGTATCTTTTAGTCATCAAATCTAAGCCTGTCAAATCCGAAGGTTTTTTTGGCTTTTTTTTTTTTTTTTTTTTGGTGACATGTTACTCATCCTATTTGGTATTCATTTATACCATTGGTACTCATTTGGAAGAGAATTGGTTTTTTTTTAAATTACCAGAACCTCATGTGGTCCCCCTGAGCACTGCCAATAGTAAGCCCTGAGCATCACTGGGAATGGACCACTGCCCTACCCCCCCAAAAAAAAAGTTTAATATGACCTTAAAATGTTAATAGTAAAGTTGAAGTCCCTAACATTGATGAAACTCAAAATATATTTATTAATTTCTAAGGAGTTAAATTTATCGCAAAAGCAACTTTGACATTTAAATGAATACACAGTGAAAATAGTGCTTCTCTCTGACTCTAAGCCTTGAAATAAACTTAGATGATGCTGCCAATGGAATTTTCTCAATTAAAACAGTTGTTTTATTCTTTGCAGCCAAAATTGCTCTTCATAAAAGTTATATCAAGTAAGCAAACTAGAACAAATATTGATCTTTTTAATTGAAAATTTTTTATTCAGAATAAATATTTTTCACCTCTTAATTTTTGTAACTATAATGCTTTTAGTCTTAACCTGCCTTTTGGAAATAGTTTGTGGCAGTTTCCTTAAAATTATTATTTTAGAATTTATGGAGTAATACAGGGATGTATAAAACTGTGGATATATCTATGTATTTAAGAGAAAATATTTTTAGAAATTAGGGAATTAAGATTTAAAGCACCAGTGATTTACACAATAAATTACCAATTTAAAAAAAAGGATGTTATGGTAATTTTAGTGCAAATAGACAAATACTCTGCATCTGTGTGGGCTAGTGAATGGGAGCTTACCAGGTGGAAGGAGGGGAACACCAAGCCACAAAGGGGACAAGAGGCCTCAGGGGGTTCCTCAAGTCAGTAAACATAAAAATAACAGTTAAGGTACTGTATGTCTTGGGAACCAGGCCCCGTATTTTCCTTCTTTTCAAAGTGGGAAAATGCACACATTCAACCACCTGGGTTGAACAGTTTTTGGCGGGTTTTTGAAGTGTTGAATATAACTTGACAACATCTGTAGAGCATGTTTCCAAACCTTTTGAAATATTTACATGACACTATATAAAAATGAAACTGTGGACCTCTGGACAAGAACAGTGGTCAACTCGTCGAACTTTTTTCCAAGTTCCTTGACATCGAGGATTGCCAATTGCTTGCCAGTGGAGAGTTTGACTTCTGAAATGATATTTTGAAAATGTTAGCTACCATTCAGAGCAAACCAAAGAAAATTCTAATTTACAAAAGTATCACCGAAGTTAAAAAAAAAAAATCACACAGCACCGGGAGTAATTCCTAGTATAGAGCCAGGAGTAACCCCTAAGCATCATCGGGTGTGACCACCACCCCCACAAAAAAAAGTCAAAAAATAAAAAGTACTGGTACCTCAGTAAAGGCTCAAGTTGTATCAACTTATGGATAAAACTTAAATTATAAATTCATTTAAACTCAAAATAGGGAAACTGGGGACACTGATGTTGGGAAATGAACACTGGTAAAGGGATGGGTGTTGTTGAAACATTGTATGACTGAAATCAAATCATGAAGAACTTTGTGACTGTATCTCTGATTCAATTAAAAAAATACTCAAAATATGAGTAAGACATTCAGAAAAAAAAAAGTGAATATTAAGTTTCTGCTTGCTAGGAATTACCAACTTGACTGTTCAGATTATTTACTCAACACCTAAGCACCATAGACTAATACAGATTTAGATCATTAAACATTAAAATATTCCAGGGAGATAATGGTTGATTGGAAAGATCCATGTTTTACCAATTTCATCTGACATACTTAAAACTATAATCTTGTATCTCACCATAAACTTTCTCACGGTGATTCAATTAAATTCTTTTTTTTAAACCATAATCCATGTGTGACCTAAAATGACCTTTGTCCATAACTGCCCAGTATGAGATCTGCTATTTACTTAGTTATGAAGTCTTACTGATTTAACTGAACCAATCAGTACAGGACTGGGGCAGATTTTTCATGATAATAAAATATGTTCAGAGTCAATTCTTTTGAACAGCCTATAGATTGTGATCCTAGAAAGAGTCACAACAAGGCTCAAAGGACTCCTGCTCTGGCCATCTTTCCCAACTATCCCATCGGGCAGAGGCTCTGAAACTCTTGTGGGTATGAATCATCTGGGCAGGATTCAACAAAGTAGGACCCCCAGCTCAAATCCAGCCCTTACTTCTGTAAGGCCCTGATCAAAAATAAAAATAGAAATTTAAAAACATTTTTACTATATGCAGTCCTCTGCTCCAGAAGATTGTTAAAAATTTACTCTCAAAGATTCTGATTCTGTTTGTTTCAAGTGGGTCTCAGGAAATTTTAAATATTGCTTCTGAGGTCAGGGATATGGCTTAGTTAGGCTTTGCATGCATGAGACCTGGTTTTGATTCCTGGCACCACAGAACTAACAAAATCTAACACTGATTTAGTACAACTAGGTGATCATTTGAGAGCTGGGTCTGGACCCTAGTAACTAGCTTTACTCACTAGTCTCTGGGAGAAAGTAGGAGTCCTATAGAGTGAACTGGACCTGTCCACTTGTATTGACTCGACCATATTACTACCCAGATCCCTCCCACAGATGCAATGTGCAGATCACTCTCCAACACACAGAGAGGATGAGTCCAAAAGAAAAAGCCAGAGTGGTAGCACAGTGGGTAGGGCACTTGCCTTGCACATGGATGACCTGGGTTCAATCCCCAGCATCCCATATGGTACCCTGAGCACCACCCAGAATGGTCCCCAAGCACACAACCAGGAGTAAACCATGAGCACAGCCAGGTGCGGCCCAAAACATAATAACAAGGATAGCCCTTCAACCACTTCCTCTCTTACCCATCGGCGTCCAGGCCATCTCCAGAGCAACGGTGGCTCACAGCATTCATAGCAGGGCGTTGGCAATCAACACAGACTGTGTACCCCTCCCGAATATACTGCATCCATCGAGTCAGGGGTCGGTTCTCCATAGCACAGTGAGATGTGTATGATTCTGTCCTGAACTCCATACAGTACCTAGGGAAAACCAGAACAGAACAAGTCACCGGCTGTGTTTAGGCAACATTGCGGAGTCTGAGGACAATGACTCCCAAGCATGCCTAACTCCAGAGAAGGCAGCACTACTGCAGTGAACCTACCGGTCTCATGCAAGCTGGGGAATTTGCAACTTTCTCAATCCCAACGATGTCTCAGTAATACCTTCAGGCACCTTACTGTTTGGTTTTTGTTTTTGTTTTTGTTTTTGTTTTTTCCGCTCCTGATTGAACCATCTAGTCCATATGAATTTATAGAAATATTCTCTCTACTCTGACTACTAAATTGCATGTAAAAGCACATTTTGCAAGGGGAAACACACCTGGTAACTTTATTGCTATCTTAGAGATTGAACAAGTATGTTCAGGCCTGAGAGTATACAAGTCCCAGGAGAGTAAGTCTGTGACACCCCACACCAGCACCATGTTATTCTGCCACATACATGTCCCCTACTCCCTCATCCAGATCGCTGGCACGACCTGGTACAAGAAAACTCATCCGGACTTGAAGTCAAGCATCAAAGTTATGCTGGGCATCGAGAGAAGTTTTTCTATGACAGCAGCTAGTTTTCCTCATACACAATGAGCTAAAGGAAACAACTATGAATCATGGATTCTGAAGGTCCAGGGGTAGCATCCAGACATGGGTGAATTCTTTTATGGTTTAAACAATTTTTATTGTAATTTAGGTAACATGGTTATAATAGTGTTGGTTTTTATGATTTTTTTTTTTTGCTCTTGCTTTTTGGGTCACACCAGGTGATGCGCAGGGCTTATTCCTGGCTTTGCACTCAGGAACTACTCCAGGCAGTGCTCAGGGGACCATATGAGATGCTGGGAATGGAACCTGGGTCGGCCGCGTGCAAGGCAAAGGCCCTACTCGCTGTACTATCGCTCCAGCCCCAGTTTTTATAATCTTGATGAACAAAGTTATTGTATCACCACCATACCAAAATGCCCAAGATCTTCCATCACTATCCCTTGTCCATCTCTTTCTTGCCTAATTGCTATGGCAAGGTTATTTAATGCTATGTTCAATAATTCTTATATGGGGCCTGATCTTAGAGGGAAAGCTTTTAGTTTTTTCTGTTAAGGATGATGTTAGCTGCGAGTTTGCTGTCCATAATCTCCACAATACTCAGATCATTCATTCTGTGGAGGGTTTTCCACAGGAACGAATACCAAAAGCTTTCTCTGCATCTACAAAGCAGATCACGGTGTATTAAACTTTCTTTGCTCTTGTAAAGACTTAAGAAGAACATCCTTAGAATGGATGATAATTTCTTTTTACTCTGAATTCATTTCTTTTTAATTTCTTTGTTTCACTCTTTTTCTTGTTGGAGAGCAGACCTCAGAGACAGAAAAATCTTTGTGTCCCTACCAGACCAGCAGGAGACTTTTCCTGTGTGTTGAAGAACCATGTTATAATCAAAGTAAATCAAAGAAAACCCATCCACTGATTTGACCACATGCAAAAAGTAAATTAAACAAAATAGAGCAAGAAAAACACTGAATTACCCAGGAACTTCTTTCTGTGAAGACCAATTTGGAGATGGGATTTTTCTCGTCCTCTCCTTGTTGAATGCAGAGGTAGTTATAAGGGCCGGAACTGGAAAAGGGAGAACAGCGTTGGAGACTCACATCCCTGGTTCCATGGGATTTCACTCCCACTAAAGTCCTCCTTCTAGGGCAGGCAGTGTGGCTCAGTGGTACACCACTTGCCTTGCCTATGTAAGCATCCAGATTTGACCACTGGTACCACAAAAAAAGTGAAAATAAACTTCAGTCCTTCATCTTTAAGACCAGAAGTCTGTGCATACCACTAAGAGTGAAGTGAGATCAGATCATGTCCCCATAGTTCTGATGGACAGGGAGGACGCACAGACACTTGGCAGCATGCTTGTGCATGGTAATATATATCATGGGTGAGAACACGAAGGACACCCAAAGGGAAATGATCAAAAGCTTTAGAAGTAATGGGGGGAGGGAGGTGAGAGAAGCTATAAAGAGAGTTGGTTTATAAGAAAAGATAGGAAAGGAAAAGGAAAGGTAGGAAGAGTAAAGAAACCAAAGGGGAAAAGGGAAAAAGAGAAAAGAAAATGGATATACATATATTATTAGCACTGTAGCACTGTCCTCCCATTGTTCATCGATTTGCTCCAGCAGGCACCAGTAACGTCTCCACTGTGAGACTTGTTGTTACTGTTTTTGGCATATCGAATATGCCACAAGGAGCTTGCCAGGCTTTGCCGTGTGGGCGGGATACTCTCGGTAGCTTGCCGGGCTCTCCGAAAGGAACGAGGAATCGAACCCGGGTCAGCTGCATGCAAGGCAAACGCCCTACCCACTGTGCTATCGCTCCAGCCCAGCATGAGCTAGGAGTAACCCCTGTGCAACGCCGGTGTGACTCAAAAGCAAAAAAAAAAAATGTTTCCTGACCCCCGAAACATTTATTATATGTAAATATATGTATATATTTGTATATGTGTATAAATAAGTATATATATTTATGTGTTTACATGTTTATAACATTACATTACATATAACATTTTATTATATATGTGTGTGTACATATGTATGTATCCACCCCTCTCGGAGAGCCCGGCAAGCTACCAAGAGTATCTCACCCACATGGCAAAGCCTGGCAAGCTCCCTGTGACATATTCAGTATGCCAACCACAGTAACAACAAGTCTCAAAATGGAGACATTACTGGGCCCGCTCAAGCAAATCGATGAATAACAGGAGGACAGTTTGTTGTTGTTATATACCGAATAGGTAAATCAATGAGCTTTATGGATATAGCCAGAAAGAGAGGAGATAAGGAAGGGGAAAAATGGACAAATCAAATCAAAGGAAGCCAAGGAACTCCTCCCATTAAATGCAGGTCTCCCAGAACCCTAGAAGTTTCCAGAACAATTTCATAGCCTAGATATAACCAGCCAGCACTTATTTCTCCCCATGCCAGTCTTGAGAATGAAAATGCAAAGTGGCCCATTCTTCATCCTTCTCCTCCTTCCTCTCCAAGCCCTGGTATTCAGGATAAAAAAGCAGGAAAGGGGCTAGAACTCCAGAGGGGATGGGTCGGCGGTGCCTGGGATCTTCTTTAAGGACATGAATTTCCTTTACTTCAGCCTTTCTTCTTTCCTCTGTCCATAGAATTTCACATTCTCCTAAGAAAACATTTCCTCCCTCAATAAAACTAAGAGGAAGGAAGAGAGGGAGGGGGAGAAAGGGAGGAAGACAAAGAAAAAAAGGAAAGGAGAAAGGAAAAAAGAAAAGAAGAATCTTACACCTTTCCGCTCTCTGTAATTTTGGTTCATTTCCGTGACTTCTTCCAGTGTCATCTCTGGTTTGGGAGGAACTGCAAGGGACAGTGAACTGATTCCACTGCTGTGGACTCAGGAAAGGCTCAAGGGGTCTGGCCCTTTCATTGTTACCATCCTCACACATGTACGCACTCAGCTATAATGCAGTGAATGAATCTATGAAAGAATGAATGACACTTAGGCTCAATTTCCCCACTGTCTCCTGTTCCTATACTGAGTGCTTCAGTTGAGATGGTCCAGATAATGGTTCATCTTAATCTTTCATTTCAGAAACTGGAGCATTAGAAGCCAGCTGATGATGGTGTGTGGGAACCCAAGGTCAGCCACACGATAAAATGGTTTGAGGGTGCTGGTAGCAGGGTTTGAGGGTGTGATGTCAGAACAAGGTATGCATGTAAATCACTGCCCTGTTACTGCCACAAGGTGGCAGCCCTACTTCTCTTGTAGCGTTCCTGAGCAAGTCATTACTGGAGGCTTCGGAGCTTCCCCACAGCTGGTAGCCACTTGCTCCCAAGAGTTAGCGGTCCTGTGCTTATTTATCTCAGCTGCTTTGGCTCCTAATCTCTCCAGCATGAGCGTTACCCCCATCTAGAGCCAGCCTTGGACCCAGCTGTGTGGCTCGTTTGGTTGCACTAATACGTTTAACTGTTTCCAAAGAAAACATGTCAGGCTTTCTAAATGGAACTGCAGCTTTTGAACTTCCCAAATCCACTGACAGAATAAAAATGAACCAGAGAGTGCATTTGTGTTCAGATCTTTTTCTGTGTCTTTGAGCCCTAATTATCAGAAATACCAATAGCTTAAAGATTTTTATTTTCTCACATATTGTTTCCATTTCTGCTGCTCTGATGCATTTATGTGTCTAAGTCCCACTGTGAAAAAAATATATTTACTGCTGAATCCATATCACATTTAAAAATTTTAATCTTTATAATTATATAAATTTATAAACTTTAAAATTATTGAAAAGTGTTTATTTAGCCCAAACATTCTTGATCTCCTAATTTGTTTTTGTTTTACATATGTTATTATAAAAGTTCAAAGGAATTGTCAGGGGAAAATTTTTAGTTAAGAAATACAGAGCAGCGGGGCTGGAGCGATAGTACAGTGGGTAGAGCATTTGCCTTGCACGAGGCCAACCCGGGTTCGATTCTCAGCATCCCATATGGTCCCTCGAACACCACCAGGAGTATTTCCTGAGTGCAAAGCCAGAAGTAATCCCTGTGCATCACCGGTTTTGACCCAAAAAGCAAAAAAAAAAAAAAAAAGGAAGGAAGGAAGGAAGGAAGGAATACAGAGCAAGGCCAGGGAGATACTGCAAGGGACAAGACACTTGGCCTGCTGGGCCAAAGTGTTAGTATACCATGTAAGGTGCTTGCCTTGCATGCAGTTCACGCAGGTTCAATCCCCAGCACACCATTTGGTCCCTGATTACCCCCAGGTGTGATCCCAGAATTCAGAGCAAGGACGAAGTCCTAAGCATAGTCAGACGTGACCAAAATTAAACCTTCACACACACACACAAACACATGAAATGTGTTCAGGTATAAAGAAATGATAAGAAACTTCAATAAGAAATTTGTTTTTCACTTTTTGGGTCACACCCAGTGATGCTCCGGGGTTACTCCTGGCTCTGTGCTCAGGAATTACTCCTGATGGTGCTTGGGAGACCATATGGGATGCTGGGGATTGAAGCCAGGTTGGCTGCATGCAAGGCAAATGTCCTACCTGCTGTGCTATCATTCCAGCCCCAATAAGAAACAGTTTTTAAAATAGAAAAAAAAATCTCATAAAGGGCCACATCCTGAGGTGCTGGGGACTTGGGGCCACTTCTCGTGATGGCGGGTCCTGTCATATAGGCTTGAGAGGTTGGTGGTTCAGAGCCACGAGATGCTGGGACTGGGGCACGTGGTGCTGGGTTAGGCTGAGGGCTAGGAACACTACTGGAGAGCACAGGACAGGGCAGCTTGCATGCTGACGGCCTTACTTATCTCACGTCACAGTGCTTCACCTTCACCCCCAAAACTTTATAAAGAGAGAGTACTGCAGCTAAGCTGGTTGCCTTGCACATACATAGCCAACCCGGATTCATTATCTGGCACTACACATCAGGAGAGATCACGGAGAACAGAGCTGTGAGTAAGCCCCAAGCAGACCGGGTGTGGCCCCGAACCAAACTAGAACAACAAGAAGGATACTTGGGCTAGAGAACCCAAGCACTTCGGGATGTGGCCCCCACAACAAAAACTAGGACACAGTTTTCGAAAGCTATTGGGACAGTTTTTCATCAGAAAACATTAGACTCTAGGAGGTAAGATGAAGGGGAAAGGATGCATGATGAAGCAAGAATCAATGCAGAAGAGAGCTTCTCTTTCAGACCAACTGACTCCATGTTCAGGGGCAAGCCTGGCTAGGACCTGTCATAAAAGCAAGGCTATCTCCCATCCATCCAAGTGGGGGGCGGTGGCGGGGGTGGGGTGTGGCGGGAGGGATACTGGGAAGGATACTCCATTGGTGGGAAGGATACTCCATTGGTGGTGGAGAATGGGCACTGGTGGAGGGATGGGTACTTGAACATTGTATGACTGAAATGTAATAGCATGAAAGTTTTTTCTCATTTTCAGAAATGAGACCAGAAGTCTGTAACTGTATCTCACGGTAATTCATTAAAATAACATTTTAAAAATTAATCTGTCACTGTCACTGTCCTCCCATTGCTCATCGATTTGCTCGAGCTGGTACCAGGTACGTCTCCACTGTGAGACTTGTTACTGTTTTTGGCACATCGGATACATCACAGGTAGCTTGCCAGGCTTGGCCGTGCAGGTAGGATACTCTTGGTAGCTTGCCAGGCTCTCCAAGAGGGGCAGAGGAATCGAACCCAAGTCGGCCACGTGCAAGGCAAACGCCCTACCCGCTGTGCTATAAATAAACAAATGTACATTAAAAAAAAAAAAAGCAAGGCTGTATCCTTGGAACCTGTTTGCCCCACATCCTGTCCTCTACCCAACCCCAGGCTGGCCTGCTATGGCAGCAGGTTCTTTTGAAGTTCTCTCTCTCTCTCTCTCTCTCTCTCTCTCTCTCTCTCTCTCTCTCTCTCTCTCTCTCCCCTCTCATTCTCTCTCTCTTCTCTCTCCCTCCCCTTCTATCCATCTCATTCCCTTTCTCTCTCCCTCTTTCTCTCCCTCTCCCTCTATCTCCGGCTCTCCTTTCTCCCCCCTCTCGTTTTCAGAAATGAGACCAGAAGCCAGATTGCCTGTGGCTCTCTGAACCAGCACCTC